TGCATACAATGGACTCCGGACTAGGTGTGTTCATCTAAGTCTTCCTACCAATATGACCAAGTTGCGAAAATAAGGTAAAACAACTTCTACCCATAATTGTCTTCTTTTTTGTCTTTTTCTCCTTTTTTTCATTTTGTTTTGAATCGAGGGTGAAAGGGATTTGTGAATTTGTTTCATTGAAAACTGGATTAGAACTGCCATGGAGTTGTGCACGAATTTGTGTGAAAATGTCCGTCCATCGTTCCGATGAATCCATGTTGAGCTTTCGCCTGTCATGGGGCAGACGACGTCATAAGGTGAAGCCGTGCTTTATTAAGATTCACCACCCTTATTATTTCAATGCTCAGTTAATTTAATCACTGCGAAGAAGACTTCGCAAAAAACCACAGTCTGAAAGTGCAAGACAATCCCAATTTTGCTTCCGTTGAGACAGATTTACGAACCACATGCATCTGCTTTTTCAAATAAGATAAGGTATAATTTATTTTAAAGCATATGAGTATATCCACAAGTAGTGAGTTTCGATACTAGCAGTAGATCGTGAGTAAGAATTGTCATAACCATGGGTCGCATAAGGCGATGAAAGGCTGATAATTGAATTTTCATACAATTATACAGAACTTTCATTCAGCCTGGCCCCTTGAAAGGTATTCGCCAAAAGGGAGGACTACAGTTTCGATATCGCCTAGCTTTCTTCACTATCCCCAATAGGAATCGAACCCCGTCGTACAGTATATCTCTTTAACATGCTAACAATACACCGCAGCGCCACCGGCGTCAGCGGTTCCAGGGCTAACATGACTTTGAAGGTAAGTCAAGCCTCGCAAATATCACATTTGAAGTGTGGAAACTAATATTATGCATAACTTGTAGGTTTCGAGTCTATCAGAACCTACTCATTATGCACACAAGTAGCTTATCGACAATCCAAGTACAAAATTTGATATAAAAGACTTTCTGTGACCCACTGGTACTTGTGGTTATCCAGCGTTGCCGTAGTGTGGAAACAATTTAATCTCACCACCTGGTTTAGAATCCATTTGGGGCTAGTTCGAAAGTACAATTCACCCTTGATGCGAATCACTTTTTGGAGGAGAGGTTAAGTGAAGTTTTCTGGAATCGCGGAGGAAAACCATATTATTTAGGGAATTTCCATTATAAGTCCTTTTTTCAACTTGTCAGACTTAGGTTAACTACACTTTGTTCTCAAGATCGAAACCCACTTATTATGAATATTGCAAAATGAGTCATTATTGTAGGTGTTTAGCATTGCGGTGCAGACTAAAGTTTGGTACGGATGGATCGAGGTCAAGACTTGGTGTTCAAATGACTTCTATACTTTATTATGGACCCATTTTATACATCTTTGCCACTAAACATTCACACGAGACGAAAAGCCTACACAATTGAATTGATATTGTTGGGGAGACCTGCATTTCGTGTGAAAGTGGATGAAGAGGGGATTCATAGGTCGATCCCACCAGAAGACGACAGCTGAATCTCGTAGTACTGCAGCCGTTTGGCTTTAACACGACGTTCATATTGACTCAGTCCACGAGAGAGGATGCTCCCTCGTTTCGAGTAAAAACAAGCTAAGCTTTCATCCATCATATGATGGACGTAATCAAGACTGGAACACATTCTTGTAAAAAAGGTTCAAGTTAACATTCAATCAAGAAGACTGTGGGCTCGTGGACTGTGTAAACCTGAACTTCGTATAAAAGCCAAACGGCTACAGTACAATGGGATTCAGCCGTCGTCTTCAGGTGACAGTAACCTACGAATCTCTTCTTCAACCACTTTCACACGAAATGAAGGTCTCCACAACACTGCTATCTCAGGAGATCTATCGCAACCGAGTTACTTTTCGTATCTACACTTGAAATTAGTTGGTCAACTCCCTATTTAGAATGTGTTTATTGGAGTGAAAGCCGGTGGTTTCGTTCCTATAGTCACCTGAAACTCAGTGCCCCTTTGAATAATGTACGATTTGTGGAGATTGGCATGGCCCATAATAAGCTTGTTGCTCGACTGTTCTCCTGGCTTCCTATTAAGTTTTCTTTCTCTTTCTCTTTCATTCTCTTTCATTTTCTCTCTTTTATTCGGCCCAGTGCATTCATTTCCTCCATCTTAGGTACCATACGGCTTAGCAATTGCCTCTCCCTAATCACCGGGACATTTAGTTTGAGTCCACTGTGGCTGATGTTCTCTTTTCTGTCCATGAGATCGATGAGCTTCTGTCACTATCGTTTTGTCTACGAGCCAAAGGGTGCTCTTGGCTCGGCAGAATCATAAAAGCCCATAGCCGTGGTCTCGACAATTGGGTGATGTAACAGAAAAACAGGATGAAGAAGAGCTATCTGTCCTTCTGCCCTGTTCTAGACACTTTTCCACTTGCCAATTAGATGAAACTTACATTCGGCGGATGGTTTTTCTGAGCCGAATTGCCTCCTCATTTTTCAGACTCTCAGTCTCAAGGAGTGCTGTCTCTTTAAGTGTATATTTCTCATTGGCATGACTAACTTCATCGAGATTAGGCTCAAAGTAGACGCAGTTGTCATAGTCAAATGGAGCGACATCATGTTAAATAAAGTACATATATGGTTGATAATTCGCTGTCAGAATGGGCCAGATCAGCTTACTCGATGCACACTCAATCCGGACTGGCTGACATTCCTCAGAATGGATCTTTTAAGCGTAAAGATGGCTTCGTCTGATACTAACGAAACGTTTCAAGCCCAACAACTACCTCGTATAGGTACTGGTGTATGAGTGTCTGAACTGGGTGATTTTTTACAAATGTGTTAAAAAGAAATGCCATTTTCTGTATCTAAATTAACTCCGTATTTCAGATTAGTGTGCTTCTAAACTAACTGCAATTTTTGGATAGGAACTCTGACATCCTAGATCGCTTTAGCTGATCTAAAGATGCATAGTGTAATTTGCTCCACATTGGACAGATTTTAGTCAATTTCACTCGGTTCTGCCTTCCAAAAGGCTCTCTCATTCCGGTTGCATTGCGGTTTTGACTTTATTCGCAACAGGATTCGCAAACGGAAAGGGCGAATCGTTCACAGTCACTTGGGCTAGTGGGTCGCAGGGTAGATGTAACTTTCAAAGCAAATCTGACCTTTCTAAAATCGCTTTAGCATGTGTCTTAGTAGTCTTATATCCAAGTAAAATAGGCCATCACCGCAATATGCCTATAACATCAGCCTATAAGAACTAAAATATAATACACAATGAAAATGAGCGACTATAAATCGAGAATAATGTAATCTTACATTAAAACCAATCCCGTTATATCATCTAATATAAAAGGAGTTATAGAAAAAATTATTAATCAAATAACCAGCTCCAACTGACCTAGTAGCCAACAAATAAAACCGAGAAATTACCTTATACCTATTATAACTCTTATACTCTTAGCATCCATACCAATTTTAAACATATGATTTAGTAAAAAGATAAAGCTTAACAAAACTACAGGAAGCATAGCAATTAGCATAGCTAAATCAACTAATAGAAGACTCCCGATTCCTAGATCCAGCACGAATATGATCCATTATTACAAAATCAGGTAATATCAAAAAATGAACTTCCAAATGACCAATAAAACAAAATATATTGAAACATTACAAGACTCTCAATCCATATAGAGTCAAAATAAGAAGTTTCACATTTAAGATCAAATAGCAATACAGAAAATGACAAAAACAAAATAAAGAAGAGATAAAATTGTATTTGTTAATAAACTCGACAATATTACTTATATTAACAGTGAGTATATTAAAGGGTTTTTTTTAATTCATAATGATTAGACGAATAGGATTGAAGCATATTTTTATCAGTGGTAAAATTCAACATTTCATCACCTACATTTCCTATTTCGGTTTTTATTTACGATTCATTGATAGTTTCTAGATATATTTACATCGAAAACAGATAACATTGTCGATTTCAGTGGCAATAGATATGCATTCTTTATCCTTTAGACTTAACTCAGCTTAGTGATAATATTGGTAATGTCACATTTAAGGAGATACCCTTTGACTTGTTTGCATCGAACATGTCAAAACGCCATGCGTGTGTCCTCATCTACAAGAGACTTTCCTTAACTACTTAACTTCATGGTTATCATGAGTGGGTATTGCAAAATTCCGCAAGAATCTCTGAACAGCTTGGCATGGCTATCATGCAAAAATTTATCACTTAATGATTATTACTTTTATATATGGATGTTCTTTGCGACGTATTCATTGGTACCACCAAATGCTGATTATACTATTTAAGACCTCTATGAAACAGCGATTTTATTTGCCTGACCAGGGAGACTAATTCTCCAACGAATCACCCATGTAATTCATGCATAAAATCCGATGATCATTGACATTTTAAAGGAATATTCTTATTTGTTTGAGGACCTACAAATAAGGCGTATTCACATTCAAGAGAATTCAACTTAAAGTATCAAATCACAGGAGTGTTAAAATAGCACCACTATATGTTGTGCTTGTAACACTTTTCTAAGTTTAAATCGCCCAAATTAGCTGGTCCCATTAATTCGGGGACAAAGAGAAGTCAATAGGTGCTGGAATTGGTGAATTGCCGCAATTCTGCATAAAATATTAAAAAGTTATTTCTACATTATTTGTTAAATTCGTGAGAGATATTGGACCTGACCTCACATGGCAACGGGATGGTGAGCTTAGAAGTTGTTGCAGTGATACCTTAGTGAATCATCGTTGTAGGCGTATTCCCGACGGATATGAGAACTTTTGACCGTCCCAAAAATTAGTCATCCAAATAGTTGATAAGCCATTTTTACACAGACAAGCTCAACAAATTGAGCTATTTATGCCGTGAAGATGGGGGAACAAAGTTTTACGCTTCGCACTTTGACGACATGATTGCGAAACAATGAATTGCTCCGTGGCTAATTCTTGACATTATTAAGCAGAAGAATGTAAGTTCTGGGAAGCTAGTCGTTAAATTTCAGTTATAAAGTGAAATCGGACGGAGGATAGTGTAAGAGTGAAAGCATTGAGAGGGGAAAATCGGCTAAAAATTGCACAAGGTGAAACACAGGTCTCATCAACCACAAGTTTCCTTACATATTCTGTTGCGATTGGAGACTGGAGGTAGTTAATAGCCTAATGGGAGATTGGCGAATAACAGGCATCCGATCACACTACCTCTCTCTGTTTTAGGGAAAAAAAGAAATCCAAAACAGATTGCAGGCGTGTATTTGTACACGTAGATACACATACTGCACGGTATGCCAGGTGCGTTTACAAAAGTGGCCAAAAGAGTCATTCAGAGTCGTATGGCTTGACTGGGTCATGCCGACTAGCACATGGTCCATTTAAGGAGGAGCAAAAAGTCTAGCTCTCTCCGCATTATGTTCTTCGTTAAATCACAAATACAATATGTCTAAATGGCCGCTATTTTTGATAGAAAAGAAAAAATTTAAGACCTGTATCGGTGATAGAAGAGAACGAAGTCTGGCCTATTTGGCCACAAGTAATCCTGTCATACAAACTCTACCAAAAATGAATAACACAAAGTAGAGACTAAGAAGCTGAATAATTCCTCTTCAGACTACCATAAAATTGGATAATATAGAGCTTGGCCTGCTAATGTGATTGAAATTTAGGTGGACGAGCAATTTATCCCATCTTGCGGCTTGAAACAAGCCGAGGGCCTGAGGCAAGTGAGCATTTTGACTTTCAAGAACGAGGGAGACAAGCGTCTCTGATATTAATTGTAGCCGTTATGAACTACTGAATATAGTTTTATTGGTGGAGGAGGGTGCACAAGCCAATCTGCAAGAATGAAATTTTTCTAAATTCCCTTTAATCTCTTATTTAATTAAGTTTGAAAGTCCAGAGGTCGTTTAGAGTTGCACTTATAATAAATACACTACTTACAATATTTAAGTAGTAATAACATTTTGTCTTAATACCTTACTTTTTGTCGCTAATTACCCACACGACTGCCTGGTCAGGTTAAATTCAACAAGCGTGGCACCAAGCTGCGCCGAGCCAGTCGTAACCTGCCTCGTGTTACGCCGGATCACCTCACCTTCCTTGACGAGTCGCCTGACTACTGCCGCCATCCGTACAGGCCCGGGAGCCCTGGAACTACAGGTCGTAAATGTCTGCTGGAGGGTAGCCCTGGTGGGGGTCATTGCTCTCAGTTGTGCTGCGGCAGAGGGTATAAAAATGTTACAGAAGTGGTGGAGGAGAAGTGCAATTGCCGGTTCCATTGGTGCTGCCAGGTGGAGTGCGAGACCTGCGCCAGGCGTGAACTGGGGCACGTCTGCAACTGACGCCCGGGAAGGAGGCAGGGCCGACAAATTAACCAAATGCGAAACCAGATCGAGACGAATCTCCAAGCCTCCGCATCCCGTCTTGGACCGGCATGAGTGCCCTTATCTATCCTCACATATACGAATACAGCATACACACACACAGTACACATATTCATTGCATTTTCATCCATTAGTTTACACGTACGCAAGCGTGTGCCTTTGCTTATTTCCGTATTCGTGTTTTTGTGTGTATCACTCACAAAACTTTGATATTCGATGCACTATTCTAAGAGTCGCAGGTGGCATTCACTTAAATTTATTCTAATTTTTCCGCCATTCGCTAGTCCAAGTGTCGCCATGCTGACGGACCGCCAGAGGTTAGAGGATTGTAGTTGGAACTGGGCTCACAAAAGAACCTGTGTTGCTGAAAACTGGGAGCAAAAGTTGCCCCTTTGTCCATCCGCTAGCTTGATCCCACAAAATCCTACGGACAAAAGACAATGATGAAACCAGAAGTCACGTTTCACATTATCATGTTAACGAATTTTGTAGTCACCTTTTTTTCTTCAAACCACTTTAGTAGTTTATTGTGCACCCTCGCCCAATTTATCAGTATAACCTTCTACATAATTATCAATGTGAACGCGCATAACCCTTTCAGGTTTCAACGTCTCCCTTGTACATACACTTTTGGTAGATATCGTTGCCTGAATAACGTCCGTTTGTCTTCTCATCCAGACTTTGCGTTGTCCAACATGACCGGCTTGTGACAGAGGCTGAGCTGCAACGACAAACAAAGTTTATCATCGTGAAGCATGCCATCACCTGTTGTCTGTGTCTGCCTGTATTTGTGTGTGTGTGTGTGTGTTTGTTGTGTAGTCATTAGCCGAAATCAACCCGTATGTCAACCATCCATTTGTTCTACTCTACCTTTCAGTCCAATCTCACTTCCTTGGTTATGTGCGCGTAATTAGGTAAATATGAATTTCCGTGTGTGTTATTGTCCCCACGGTCCGTTTGACCACCGGATATCATTGTTAAGTTATACATCCATTTGACTATATTTTGCAGTTTTCAATTACTTGTGACAATGAATACATGAATAGTCTCTACTTGAAGCTTTCTCCATTTTGCATGGAAGAGCAGGTTTTACTCACAACCAGAATCCTGGCAGACGAGTATCTTGTGTATATATGAAACAAAGCTGGGTTTTGGACAATCTCATAGTGAGACTCGGCTTTCAAACTCGAAATAAAAGTGAGCTGGAAGGAATTCGTGAATCAATCCCACCCTCCGACGTCTCGGCAGAACTCGTGCTAAGCTTTCGTCTGTCACTCGACGAAAATGTTAGACCAAGCGAAAAGGTAGTCGGCTACAAGATTTTATGATGCTAAGCTAATGGGCAATAGTAATTGTGGAATCCACGCCATCTTGTGAGTTGGAGGAACATTTTTCCTCTTTGCAGGCAAACAAAGCCATTGTTGACGAAAGCTTGCTCTATTGTGAGCACAGAAGATCTTAGCTGAGCGAAACCCGCCTCAGTTAGAAAATTATAATCGACCAATTGCTATGGCCGTTAATAGGATCTGATTAAACCAGGTCCTCTAATTAGGTCCACTCTGAGCTCTGCGAACGGCATCATCCTTCAATATATTGGTTGTATTCACCATAGTTCGTTTACTGTGAAGGACTGGAATTTGCAATTTTGCACAACGATGTAACCAGACCTCATGTTTCCATTGAATTTTACATAACCTGACTTCCATAAACGAAATAGGGAATATGTATATATAGTCTCGAGGCCTACTTATGAACGAAAATAATCCGTCAGTAGTATCGGCCAGGGGTACGAAAAAAATGGGATGGCTACACAACCATGCGGTACCAACGTGGCTCCATTAGGATGAATTCGGACCAACCACAGCTTCAGATACTATCCTCTTCTCATGTGGACTGGGCTCAGGGCCAGAGGTTTTAGGCCGAAAGCAAGTCTGGCATGCCAGTGTTCCACTAATCCCGACTGATACGCTTAAATACATCTTGCCTTTAAAAATGACTTTGTTCTAACTTGAAGGTCGGAGTCTGGAGAAGACAGACACACCGAGTGAAGTGTCGGTGTTGCCTAGGGTTAAATTTATTGATCGTGAACCGGTCCCGGCCAGGAGCAAATGAGCGTCAACATGTGGAAATAGTTAAAAGAAGCATGAACAACAGTTTGGCCAGAGCCAACCCTTTGTCAATATGAGAGACTTTACAAGACCAAGCAAATGTCGAAGA